ATGATTGTCATCTCATATTGATCCCAACGTGATTGTTATAGGGCATTATCTTAGATTTAATTTGAGTACTAGAAGTTCTTGATAGGGTTTATAGAACTCAAGTTATGACCCAGACAAGTTACAAGTCATCCGAGGCATGTGAATTTGGAGCTTGAAAGTTACCCAAGTTGCATGACACTTTTTCCCTAGAAGGATGATTCCTATGAACTTTTGGTCAACATGAATGTTGTTCCTTATCCTCTTAGCTTTCCATAGAGTACTAGAAGTCCATGATTGGATGTGTATAACTCAAGTTATGGATTTGACAAGTCAAGGGTATTTCGGGTATTTGGACATTACAGGTCATTTTGAATCATAGGTCAATTTCATCATCTTGCAAGCTTCAAATGGATTTTTTTTCAACATTAAAGTTGCTCAAAATGATGCTTTTAGCTTAGCCAAGTATCAAGAGTCCATTAATATGGATTAGAACAAGCATTGGTTGAAGAAATTTCACAAAAAGACCATTTTAATGAATTAAAAGGTGAAAATTCAAAACAATTGGTAATTGAATAATTTCAAGCCAAATTTGTACTCATTTTGATTGGAAATGATATTCTAAATACTTTGACATTATTAGAATTTTCATTTGGGGATTGGTTCATGGTGTTCCAATTTGTGACTTCATGAATAAGCTACACATCCCAAAATCATACCATTAAGCTCCAAACCAATTTTCACAAGGCAAAGTCCAAACCTTACCTTGGGATCCAAGCCTAAGGAGTACTTAAGGGATCTTGAGCATAAAACTACACTCATCATCATTATCGGATCAAGTTTCGTAGTCAAATTTCGTGCAAATTGAAGTTGAATATTGGAGCGTAAGTTGGAAGCATTTATTCGGAGCAATTCGGATTCGAAGTGTTCGATCTTCATCTTCTTGCAAGAATTATTGTGGATCTTGAAGTTTTCCATATAATCTTGTTCGGATCTTTTCAAACTCACTTGATCAACGATCACCAGATCAAATCTCCGATCCGTAGGTTGGTTTTCCGATTTAATTTAACCATTTGATTGTTGTTTTTTAATGGCATTAAAATTCTGTTTTGTGTGCTGTTTGATTTTAATTCATATAAAATAGCAAGAATGCTTAGAAAAATATGACAAAAATCGTGGATGATCCTTATCATGTCTATGATCTTTGTACGCAATTGGATTTTAGTTTCGTTTAATTTTCAATTTGATTTCGTTTTTCTCCTTTAGTTGGATAATAAAATGTCAAAAACTGCATAGTTTCTTGCCGATTTTTGTTCTGGAGTTTGGTATAGAATTTGGACTTAATTCTTTGCTTGTTTGTTATAGACATATTAAGGAACTCTCATAAATTTTTAGGTTAATTTTTAGGTAGCTTTAGGTTCTGTTTTGAACTAGATCTTTAGAGGCTTCCCTACTTGATTTCCCTTTTGACCATTTTTGGTGTGTGATTTCTTTAGTGCCTTTAAGCATAGTTTTAGGCTCTGGTTTTTCTACTATAGATACCAAACATGCTTAGGTTCCCCTAGAAATTTTCCTAGGATTTTAGAATTAGTTTTGGTATTTTAGATCGAATTAATACTTAGGCTAGTCTTAACATGTTCATAACATAGCCTTTCCATTTGATTGATTTCATTGATGACTTTTAGCATGGGATAAACTTTTCATTCCTTTTTATTGTTGTTATATACATATTGATGTTGCCTTGTGATTTTTATCATGATTTTTAAATGATTTTAAATATGCTTTTAGTGTAGTTGTTTAGGTGTGATTTTTGGTGGATCTCTTTAGTGATGCCTTGCAACTTAGGATTTTATTAGAGGACTTAGAGATTGAATTATTTCCTAATTTTTGAATTGTAGGTCATTAGCAAATTCATGTTCCCATATAAAAATAATTAGATTTTTAGGATGTGTTTTGATATTTTAGATAGAATATTCAAGTTGATCGTTCATTTGGTGTTTCAATTTTTGGTGATTGATTTGAAATGGACTCAAAGTGGGCTTTCCTTGCATAGTGGGCTTCTGGTTCCTATTGGAGGATATCATGGACATGATGAAGCTTGTGTGAAGTGGCTGGTGGAGCTTGGATTGGAGCTTTTCCTTCTTTTTTGTTAGCTTTGTGTAGCTTAGGAGATTATGGCTTTAGGAGAGAGCTTTAGAAATAGATTTTTCTTCAAATAATGGTTGGTTTCATTCACCTTCCATCCTGTCCTATGATTCAAAGTCCTCATGTTAAAAGTCTCATCTCTCCTTAGGAGGGATGTGTGAAATTTTACAATGAGTAGAACTTTTGAGGATGCCTTTCTCTGATGACTAGTTGAGTGTCAGATGGGATTCCTTTGGTTTCCTGTTTGCTTCCCATTATCAAATAATCATCTTGTTGATTCTCTTCATTCTTGGTGGAGCCTATTGAAGATTAAAGCATGAAGTTGGAGTATCTATCTCCTTTCCTTGAAGATGATAGACTTTAAGAACAATTACAAATTATGGACTGGATTGCTGTCAGAAGATTGCTTTGCTGTGAAGCTGTGGAAGCTGTTGATTTATTTTCCCTGTTTGTCTGTTTTCTTCCTGTGCAACTGTATTGATGTGACTTGATTGGTGTGATGAATTTAGATTAGGTCATGTAGTTGAATAAGCCTAAGAGCATCCTAAGGGTTGAGTTTCTCCCCTTGCTTGTATTACATTAGAGGTTGAGTTTCTCCCTCTTCTTGTATTTTTAATGTATGGCTTTGCTTGCTGGTATTCGGTAGAGCTCCGCTCCCTTGCCTGTGTGGTTTGCGGTTTGCTTGATTGCAGTCTATTTTCTTCTATTATGTTTGCAGTTATTCATATCTGGCTTGAGGTTGAGACGAGCTTGTGGAGGCTTATGCCCCACACACATTTCCTCCCTCACTTGCATTGCATGCATTTTATCTACAGTTATTCCCTGTACTGTTTATCTGTTTACTGTTTAGCTGATGCTTTATCTGTTTCTGTTTATCATTGGCATGATCCCCTAGGAATCTCACTTACTTTGATAAGGAAGTGATGATTAGAACTTCAGGTTGAAACCTATGCATGATAACTTCTAGGAGTTCCCTGTTTCAAACCTCAACCATAGGATGAATCCTTGGCATGACAACTGTTAGGACTTGATAGTCCCCCCTTAGTTGAACCTGTTCGCTCTCTTCTCATCTCGAAACAAATCAAAATACAGTAATAAAGGTTAACTGATGTCGTACGTTACGAGCCTTAAGCTACTTGAGAAAAGGTTGTTGAAGGGTCACTCTTCAACAGTCTAGATGTTTAGTATGGTACCCTTAGGGTGACATGCGACGCATTCACTCTCAAAGCATAGTCTCTAGTGCAATATTAGTTGCAAACATCCATAAAAAACAGTTCTTCCGTAAAAGACAGAAAACAAACTCCAAACCTTTTTGCCTCGTGGGCCCATAATTCAAAGGAAGCTTTTCTGAAGAAAAGAGTGTCGTTAACTCCCAGTTCTACCGCAAACGGTAACGCCTAAGTCTCCAAGGGTCGAGCTGTGTACGCCAAACTGCTGGAACTGTTTGTTAACCCTACTCGAAAAAACAGATGAATTTGAATCCCCGTAATCCGTATTATCCCGAACTACGTAAGCTCTGATCTCTCATACCTGTTGAGAGTACGTAGGCACAATACTGACGTATTGGCGAGCCACCTTCCCCTTCCCCGTAGTTTCCCGAACTACGTTGACTCTGATTTTCTCTCTTGAGAATACGTAGGCATAGAGCAGCGATGCTCTACCGAGTCAGTTTCCCTCCGTTTAGCTTCAGAAGCCGTAGATAGATTGTTTTTCACCCTTAGATAGAAAACAAGCGTGGATCCCGTCGAGTACGATGGACGTGAGGGGTGCTAATACCTTCCCCTTGCGTAACCGACTCCCAAATCCAGGATTTGATTGCAAAGACCATTCCTTTCCCCTTTTGCATTAGGTTTTCTATGAGCGTTTCCTTTCCCTCCTTTGGGATAAATAACGCACGGTGGCGACTCTTCTGTCATGGCCGGCGCCGATATTCGCAGTAGCGACAACCAAGGGTCAGTGTTTACAGGTAGGAAGATGCAGGAGTTTGCCAAAGAGATTGGATTCAAACTTCTCACTTCGACGCCTCTTGCAAAATAGAGGAATTTAAGAAAAAGTGCCAAAAACAGGTTGAAAGCAAAGGTTGGTCGAAAGGCGTGAGGCAGCTGAAAGAAGGAGTCGAAGAACTCACTAGGATTGAAGAGAAACCACAAGGGCTTCGGCCGTTTTGCTGTTTGGTGATTTATTGAAGATTTGAAATTCAAAAATTTGGAGGGAACAATTTTGTTTGCCAAATGCCTAGGAGGACACATGGCACCTTATGAGCAGTAGATCCATGCATTGACAAGTGGCGAAAGGTGGTGATGTTGGAAGTTATTAGTAGTTATTTTTTTACTATTATAAATAGGGTGTCTTAGACATGAGATAGGGGTGGTAATTACCATTGTATAAATTACTCTTAGAATTACTCCAAGTATCCGAGCGTAGAGAAAGCGAGTATTATAGAGAATGTACGTGATGTAAACACACCATCTTTTATCTTAATGAAATTTACTTTACTTGCTTTAAACTTTACAAAGTCTTTTTATTTTCTTTGCACCCCTCTTCCTTATTTTCTTTCTTTCTTCTTTTTCTATGCAATTCATTTCTCTTTGTCCTTAATCTAATCTTTCCTCTCCAAACAAACTTCTTTCTCTTCTTTATTGAAAGTTTTATCTTTTAATTTGTTCTGTAGTCGAACAGATGTTTCTTTAGATTCTTTTACCCCATTATTGCCTAAGTGTGAAACTTAGATAAATTTCCAAAGAAAAACCTTTTTAGCACATGTCCTAGGATCAATCTGATCGATCCCGTGAGTCACCAAAGTTAGATTTGGAAGATCAGCGGTTGTTTTCCGATTTCTAAGGGAAACAGTAGACAGGAAGATGTTTATAACTGAAGAAATGGGTAAGGAACATGTCATTGAAGATGCCTACATGACTGATGAGTTAGACAGTGGTAGTGATGATGACAGCCGTGATGAAAGACCCTATGTAATCAGGTTTAATCAAGAAGAATATTTAAGCAAGGATTTTGTTTTCAAGGTGGGAATGGAGTTTTCTTCTTTGAGACAGTTCAAAGATGCCATATTGGAGCACAATGTTTTAAATGGTATGGATGTTAAGTTTGAAAAAAGTGATGCTAACAGATGTAGGTTAGTTTGTAAGGATAAGAAAAATGTGATTATACAGTGATGTGTAGGAGAGTTTTAACATCCACCACATTTAGGATTAAGACTTTGTTTGCAAAGCACAAATGTGGAAGACACTTCTTCAACAAAAGTGCCAAAGTAGAGTGGGTGCCCAAGGTAATTGTTGATGGATTGAAGAACAACTCTAGAATGAGGTTAAGTGAGGTAGTAGCAGATGTCAAACAAAGGTATACAACAAAAATTTCAGGTTGTAGAGCATTCAAGGCAAGACATATTGCAAGACACGTTGTTGAAGGAGATTATAGCAAGCAATTTAGTCTTTTATAGTCATATACTGATGAGTTAAGAAGGACTTCAACTGGGAACACTTTCAAGATCAACACCAATGTTCATAGTCCTCACTTAAAACCTAGATTTGAGAGGTGCTATATGTGTTTTGATGGGACCAAGAATGCCTTGAAAAAGGCATGCAGGCCATTCATTGATCTAGGTGGGTGCCATTTGAAACACAAGTATGGTGGGATTTTACTCATTGTTATTGGGAGTGACCCAAATGATCAATATTTGCCAATTGCCTTTGCTGTTGTTGAGACTGAATCAAAGGATTCATAGAGTTATTTTTTAAAATTGCTTATTAAAGACATAGAAGATGACTGATGGTGTTTCATCTCTGACCAACAAAAAGTAGGTTGTACTTTCATCAATATTTGCCATCTGATAATTTTCAATCAATTGAATGTACTAATGCAAATAATGTTTTCTTGTTTTAGGGTCTTGTTCAGGTTTTTGAATAGGAGTATCCTGCATATGAACACAGGTTATGTTTAAGGCACTTGTATACTAACTTCAAAAAAAGTTTGGAGGAGGAACCTTGTTTAGAGACCTTATGATGGCCGCAGCAAAAGCAACTTATTTTGAGGCACATGAGGATAAGATGCTCATGATTAAGGAGATCATCTTAGAGGCTTATGAGTGGTTATAATCAATTCCCAAAATAAAATGGTGTAAGCATGCTTTTTTCCTTTTTCTCAAAGTGTGATGTCTTAATGAATAATTTAAGTGAGTCTTTCAATGCAGCCATTCTGTTACAAAGAGACAAACCAATCATTACAATGTTTGAGTGGATTAGGAATTACCTAATGGGGAGGTTTGCCACACTTAGAGAAAAGGTAGATAGTTATAAAAAGGTAAATAATGACAAAATCATTAAGGAGGCTAGATAGAGAGATTGAAAAAAATGCTAGTTGGACAACAACCTATGCTGGTAAGTTAACCTTTCAAGTAACACATATTTTGTTCATTGATAGTTTTGTAGTGGATTTAGAGAAACAATCATGTTCATGCAACTATTGGGATCTTGTTTGGATTCCTTGTAGACATGGTGTGGATGCCATACATAGGAAAGTGGATGACCCTGTGAAATATGTGCATGAGTGTTATCACAGAAGCACTTATGAAAAATGTTATAGTGAAGTTATCACCCCTTTGAATGGCCAAAACAAATGGACAAAAACATCAAATGAAACCATGTTGCCCCCTATGTTCAAATGTGGCCTAGGTAGGCCCAAGAAACTTAGAAGGAGAGAGCCAGATGAAGTGAACTAGACAAAGTGGCAAAGAACAAACACAAGCCATAGGTGCAAGGCTTGTTTTGAACTAGGTCACAACAAAAGGACCTACAAGAAGAACAAGCAAATTATGGTTGTTCCCTATGGTAATACCACCCAGGCCACTCAAGACTTGCGCACTCAGCCCAGTCAAGAATTGCCAAACCAAGCCACTAAAGACTTACCTACACAAGCAAGCCAGACTAGCAAGGTCAATTTGGCACACAAAAAGGGTATTGTTTAACTTAAATCTGAAATTTACTGATTGTTTATCTAGGTATTTTGTGCAAGGGTAACAATGTGAATTATTTGTTTGTTTCATGCAGGGGAGGCCTAAGGGATCAACCAACAACTGTACATCTAAAGGGGGAACAAAGAAGACAAAGGTGAATGAGGGAATAGTCAAAGATGCATCTGTTAATGAGGCAACCAACACTGTGGAACAAATTATCAATGAGGAAGCTGCTGTCATGGATGGGAAATCAAGTGTCAAGAAGAGAGAGTCAACTATCAAGGTGGCAAAGTCAAATGTCAAGGTGGCAAAGTCAATTATGAGGCAAAGTCAACTATCAAAAAGGCAAAGTCAAGTTTCAAATAGGCAATGTCATGTGTCAAAGAGGGAGAGTCAAGTGTCAAAGATGCAATGGCAATTGTCAAGGAGGAAAACTCAAGTGCCCAGGAGGAAAAATCAGGTGTGGCAAGGAGGCAAAGTCAAGTGTCAAGGAGGCAAAGTCATGTGCCATATAGGGAAAGTCATGTGCCAATAAAGGAACGAATTATGTCAATAAAGGAAAGTCAAGTAAGGCTAATGAGGAAAAAGCTAATACTGATCCAACTGATGATATGGAAACTGATCTAACTATCATTGAACCATGTGAGCCAACTGATGAAATGGCAACTGAACCATGTGAGCCAACTGACCCTTTGGATCTAACTGAAAAAGGCAACACCAATGGCAAAGTTCAAACCCAATGAAGCATTAGTTTTTGGCAGATGGATTTATTTAGGAACAAATATTTTGATGTAATGTACTTTTTTGCTCAATGTGATGTACTAATGTAGCCTTTTGATGTAATGTAATATTGTATTGATATACTCTTATGAACCTATTATGTACTTCTTTTGATGTAATGTAATATTGTACTGATGTACTCTCATGAACCTGTTATGGTATGTTAAGTTAATTAATTGTGTTGAGAATGAATTTGTCTTGTGAACATGTTATGGTATGCTCAATGTGAACCTGTGAACATTATGTTTTGATAAGTTTCTCCTACTCATGTTCCTTGGCTGTTAAGTCCATATGGTTTCAATTTTATACACTCAATTTTAAATCCACCTAATAGGTCAATTTTATATAGTCAATTATATGTTAGTTACACATACAGAACTATACTAATTATCTAAAACTATGTCCAATTTTATACATTCAATTTTATACACTAATATTATGTCCAATTTATAGGTCAGGTTGTGTCAAAACTATGTTCTGCAACTGAAACTACAAACTCAACATACCAATTGAACAATACTAAATGAATTACAAATAGAACATACCAATTTGTATTTCAAATAAAACCAATTCATGTTACATTTCACAACATACCACTTATACAAGCTTAACAGTTAAACAAACATTACAGATGATTACACCTAATCAACAATTGCACCTAATTAACAAATACAAATTGACCAAGACCAACCTATAACACATGATGTCTTCAGCTTCCCCCAAAATGCCTTTGTCTTAATCTTCATCTTCAACCTCTTATTCTTCTTCATGGATGATTCGTAGAGCTCCTTCAGAGTTTATAAAGCTCACATTTCCATCACATTACTATCGTCCTTCCTCCATTATGAATCTAGGCATTCCTCATCATCCTTGACTTTTTCAATTTCATCATCCCAAATAAATAAGTTGTAGGTTCCCTCGTTTTTCCAATACGGACACCTCCAAAACAGTCGACCTTTGTTCTTTCAGTTCTTGCACATGTATGAAATAATAACACCATTGCATCCAAACCTTTTCACTCCACAGTTTGTCATACTCGTCGAATAGTAAGAAACTCCTTTGCTTAACCTAGATGAAGATGACATTTTTCTGAGATGGGTGAGGAACACAAATGGGAAGAAGAAGAACAATAGGAAAGAATAAGAAAAAGAAGATGAAAACAATGATCAAAAGGATTAAGGTTCACACTTTATTCCTCTACTATTTATGATAACAAATCAGTTATTCCAACTCAATCTGACATGGCCATGACAAGGACCCTAGTGGCATGCCACATCACCCTCCGTTAGAGAAAACTAACAGGAGGGACCATTTTTAAGGATGGACAACTTTATGGGGACCATTGTTTGAAGAAATTTTTTTAAGGGACTATAATTGAAAGTTGCCATATTTATAGGGACCTCATACATATTTAACCCAATTAAAAATTCAGTTGATATGTAGGAAAAGATATAGAAAGTAAATAGTTCTGGAAAAGACAATTTTACTCTTTTTTATTGGTCCAAAACTACTGTTTGGAGGATATATCAGTAACTAGTTTGAATCTGGTTTTTTAGTTCATGTTTAACCAATTCTTATATGTATTTGTACCTGTAGCTCGCCATCTACGTTGCATTCAAATTTTTTCCTAACCAAAACATCACTTCATACTTACTATATATTCAAAAAACAAACATCATGTCACAGTTTTTCTTCTTCACGTAGCTTCTCTACAGACCAAATCTTCTTATCTTTTAATTATTTTTTAGATTTTCCAACTTTTCTTATTCTCTCGTCTCTCAACTTTTGTTCATCTGTACAACTAAACCCGAATTACGTGGCAAGGCCATTTGAGAATGTTAAAGACATTAACGATACAAAAGAGATTTGGAATATCATTGTGAAAGTTCATCATATATGGAATGTAGTCTCTAACACGAAAGAACACTTTGAGATAATTGTTGTCAACAAATATGTAAGTTTATGATATTTCATCTTCAACAATGATTTATGGTTGTTTCATAACTTGCAAATGGGTTATTATTTGTGTAACACATTTGTTTTTAATAATATTCATGTAGTTTTACTTATTTTAGGTTTTAATGATTATAATGGAACTACATGTTTTACTTTCCTGTAACAGGGTATTGATATCCATGTCGTTGTTCCGCCATTGTATAGCAAGACTTTCTATTCACAATTAGCTGTTAGCAACACTTGCACAATAGCCAACTTTCAGGTTCAAGTTAATGAGTTGGTATTCAGACCTTCAAATCATAAGTTTTTCATAAAGTTCACGAGAGGAACCATAATTGGTGATACAAACAAGCATATAATCCTAGACAAAGTTGTTAACTTCACTCCATTTTCTGATATTATAACTGAATTTTTGGCATGTAGATACCAGATGTCGAGACAGATGTCACAACACTGGGATCAAAACACATCTTGAACACACACAACCAAAAACTGTAAATTGCATAAAGTAAATAACACCAAAGTTCTTAACTCAGTTCAGTGCAACTCACCTACATCTGGGGGCTACCATGCCAGAAAAGAAATCCAATATTAGTAGTATTAATTCGAAGCTAAACAGTCTCAGTTTATAACTTCCCACTTGTCATACCCCAAATTTGTCCTACCTCTGTATAGCTTTCAGTTTATGCATCCATCCATTGACCATTATACAAAAAAAATGTTGTTATTTTCTTTTTCCCTGAATTTCATCT